CAGACTAAGTAGATCTGTTGAAAGAGTAGATGGAGACCCTCAAAAGCAGTCAAAACAGGTCAGGGGCTGACTGTGAAATCTAGATTATCATAGCTGCATCATTTTGCCTACTTTATAACTCAATGCAATCAGACTCCGAATATAGGGTTCCAACAGTTTCCTGAGGATAAGAGAAATTCCGATCCACTCAAGACAGCAATTACTAGCTGCTTAATTTTTCATTTTGGTTAAGAAATATGTAAAGAAAGTCAACTCATTCTTCTTTCTTCATCTATAATATATTCTCCAGTAGCTGAACCTACACAGAAATATTGTTACCACTGATAGACCATGGATGTGTCTTTAAAAACCAGCAATCTAATGAATGGAATTCCAAAGTCTCTATAAATTTTCATTAAAATCTCAATAAAAAAATAACAAATCCCAACAATATTTTTTAGTTTAAAATATTTCATGGACTGTTCAGATAAGTGTTTCAAACATTAATTAGTACAGAATATTAACTGAAACATGGAACAGATGAATTAAAATGTGTAGTTAGAGTTTTTATAGAAATTTGCAATCTAAAGAGGTAAAGTTGTTGTGTATCATTGAGTTAAAACTGACTCATAGTTGGTGTCCTGAGGCAGTAAATCACATTGGAGGAGGCTGGCCATCTTTCTTCTGCTGGTAGATTTAAACGACATATCTTTGCATTGGCTCCTTACCACTAAGCCACCAGAACAGACTAAAGGTAAAAAGCATATACAAAATCAATATAAAAAACAAGGACTTTATACAGACATAGCCTTGTATTTGAAAGCATATAAAATTTTCAATTCTTGAAAATAGGAGAATGATTGCACTGCAATCCCAGAGGTGTGCAGGTGTACAGTTTGAATCCATCAGATGCTCTGCTGGAGAAGGAGGGACAATCTCCTCCTGTACTAGTCAGATCCGATTTGATGGTACACACACACACCAAAAAATAATAAGAAAAAAAGAAAATAGGAGAATGAACCCATTTATAGTTTTATGAAGAAAAGCCATTTTCAAAGTTGGCAAGAAAATAATTTGGAAGTTATAGAATTGGAGATTTTTTCTTTTTTAAACAACATGTGCTAAGAATTGTGGCTAAATAGCATTGTCAAACATATTCAAACAGGTATTCTAATTTGGCTATTTCTAATTGATAAGTCAGTAATTATTGGAAAGAGTGCATAAACACATATTCACCAAGCACTGTCTGTAGTGTGTAACACTTTTCCTCTCACATCTCCCACCATTTTTCAAACACAGATATTAGTGTAATGAAACAAAATCATGTAGGTCTATAAGGTAGGTTTTTGTTTGGTTCCCCCCCATTTAGCACAATCTAAATAAACAAATAATAAGAGTTAAGTCTTAGTGGCACAGGGTCCTTCAATTTAAAAACAAAGCAAAACCACACAGACAGAAAAAATGGTAGTGTCCTTTAATACACAAAGGTTCTTCATTCTAAAATTCTATTCTTTTAAGGGCACTGAAGACTATAAATTATTGACAACAATTACATTTTAATTAGGCAAATACAAAAATGTCAGCTATGCTTAAGTGTTGGGAGTTGGTTTTGTTACTGATAAATAAGGCATGATTCTACCCCCAATCATAAACAGGGAGGGGAGACAGATGCATGAAGAAATAATACAACCCAACAAATGCTGCAGAGGTTTCATGGGCTTTGGGAGCAAGGTGGGTGTTACCAATGTCACAAAGGGGAGTCTGAGAAGACAGTGTCTATAAATTGGGCCTTGACAAGAAAAGCAAAAAAGGAAGCAAACGCCTTGTTTTCTTCAGATGGGACAAGTCACACAAAGACAGAGCTGTGCGAGTACATTACACGTTGGAAGAAGTAAGCTTTGTCTGGTATGGTAGCAATATGAGATTGGAACAAACAGTTAAAAGGCTAAGTGATGCACTTCACAATTAAGACTTGCCGGGAAGTGAATGAGTTTAAACCAAGAAGAAAACATTAAAAAGATTTGTATTTTATTTTACTTGTAATAAAAATAGTAGTTCTATAAAGTCAGAAGTCATTGCTGTGGGTTTTCAGAGGCTCTAAATTGCAGAGGAGGAACCAGATGCTCTTTTTTGCCACAGAGGAGGTGGTGGATTCGAACTGCCTTTCTTTGGGTTGGCAGGGTAACTCCTTACCCACTAAGTGGCCACCAGAGCGCCCTAATAGTTCTATGGAAGGACTTTAAAAGGAAATGCAGATGGTGAGAAACCAGCTGAGTAACTGGAAGCTACATATATTCTGGTGAAAGATGGCATGAATATAGCAGTGTGAGCGAACATCAAGGGTCGATGACAGTCCCTGGGTTTCACATTAGGCTTGAATACCAGTACTACCTTAGAGATGGACTACAGAAGGTAGTAGGAAATGAGTATTATCCCTTGGAATGCAGTTTCAAGAAACAAGAAAAAGTTACCTATGGCAAGAAAAACTTAGTAGCCCCTGAACATACTTTCAAGAAAGAGGGAATGGTTAATTGTATCAAATGTTGCAAAGAAGCAGTGAGACCCCCTTGGAGGCAAGGATGGTGAAACTTGGTCTCACATACTTTGGACATGTTGTTAGAAGAGCTATTCTTTGGGAAGGGACAACATGCTTGGAAAGGCGGAAGGTCAGCGAAGGAGAGGAAGACCCTAAAGGAGATGGACTGACAGTGACTACAGCAATGGGATCAAGAATGTCAGAGATGATGAGGATGGCACAGCAGAGGGCAGGGTTCAGATCTGCTGTTGATAGGGTTGCTAAGAGCCCCATTCGATGACAGTACCTAACACCACCACCACATCCCCTCAGCACCTACTCCCTGTCCTCTCCATGCAAATGGAGCCCTTAGGTAGGAAAGGGAAAAAACCTAACCACCCAGGATCAGAGCGAGTACTTTCCATCAGATAAGCTGCTCTCTCCTCGGCCGCAGCAAGAACTCAAAAGCTAAGAAGGGGAGAGGCTATCCGGCTCATAGGAGTAGGAAGACTGCAAAGGGCCGGGTACTAGGTGGTTCAGAGGCGCAAAGCACCGGAACAGCCCAGGGAATGGAAAGCTTCTGACGAGACGACGCCCGGGGCTCCCGTCCCCGAATTTATTCCACTTACTCCGGTCTCAGTCCCGCGCAGCCGTCAGCGATGGTAACTGAGGACACAAAGCCTCCGTCAACGGAGATCTACAGGGGAGAGACCTCGGGCACCTGTTTAGTTCCTCTCAGTTAGCGGAGGGGCAACAGTGCATACTGCCGAGCCGAACCCCATCACTGACCCGCGAAGACCTCTACTGACCGCCTCTGAGAAGCACTCCGCAGAGTGCACAAACCTCGCGAGATTTCCCTCCTGTATACCTACGAGGGTTACAGTCGGGAGACTTGTTTGCCGTTTCTCGCCGACTTGCGCGAGAGGTAGGGGCGGGTCCCTCTTCAGCCCTCCCCTTTTAGCCATTCCTAGGCTTTTGCTCGACTTCTCGTAAAGTCTCGCGAGTTGTTCTAAGGGAAGGCCTCCTAGGTGGAGAGTCGAGGGGTTAGGTGGCCGAATTCCGAGGGTAGTACGCTTTGGTTTAGCGGCTTCTGTGGCTAGCACTTTTCTGTTAGAGGATGTTTTCAGGTCACCTGGATAATTTTTGCCAGCTAGTGGCTTGGAAGAAGTAGCAGAAAGAAAACCTTGAGGCCCGAAGGCATTTTTTTCTTTTCCATCTTGGCTCCGCCCTCTTCCCGTTTAGCGACCCGGGCATCTGGCCCACCAAGGGGTAAGGGAAGCTTGAAGGGGCTAGAGAGAGGACTTTGCGCAAGCGCGAGCTCGAGTGCCAGTGTGTGTCCACGCGCAAGCGCGCGCTTCTGCATTTAGGAAGCCTGGGAAGGAGCAGTACGCTGGGAGATGAGCGGGGAAAACATAATCCCTGGTTTTTGGTATCAGGCACTTCTGACTGTGCTCTGACCCTCACCACCCAGCCAGCAGCCTTTTCCAGGGAGGCTGTGACCCTATAACCTCTTCATTTTTCACTGCAGGACCAGGCACGAAAGTAAGCAAACCTCGATCCTGAGGTCTTCTCTATCCACTCACCTTGTCTTTACCGCGCCCCCCCTCCCTCCCCAGCAAAGTATATTTAGAAGAGTTTCGCTTGAAGGGTAGGTGAATTTAAAAGTACAAGGTGAAAGTAGCCGGATACTAAAAAAAAGTCATTTCGTTTTAGATGAACATTTGCTCTATTCACCATGTGCTTTTTTGAACGTGAATTGTCTTTTCACTATAACATTTTATTAGGAAGCACCATATGCTGTGTTTTGATGAAAAGTTCTAAAAGTTCCTCCTCCCTGCCAGTATGATAGCAACGAGCTTTTTCTGGTCTACTTGATAGCTTTGCTGTTTCAAAAGCTAAAGGGATGGTGGAATTGGGTCTTTATGTTAATGCAAGAACTTGATATGCAGTTATTTTACGTCAAGTTGATGTTTTTTGACTTCTCTTTTGTTGTCAGTTCTTTTTTCCTGTTAATTTCCCCTTCCGTATCATTTTCCATAAGTCTCGAATGGTTTCTTAGGGGGAGAGAAGCCCCAAAATGATGACTTGGTTTAATTTTAGAGATTGGATGTAATTGTTGTCAATTAGCAACGAGTATCAACAATGTAATTTTGAATATTACCAATTTTGATGTTTGGTATTACATAAATGAACAAAATGCAATTATATGTCAAAATATGGTCTTTTGACAATTTAAAATTAATGCAAAATTAATGTATGGACGCTAATTTTACATGTGGAGTGACATCCAATATGACGTAGCTTATCCCTGGAATTGATACAGGTACATACTCGTCTTGATTCTTTTAAATCTTGTTCTTGATTACTTTTATTTATTTGAACACTGGTAATTGATGTTCCCTACCAAATCATGAGGAAAGACACTTTAGTAATTAGAAGTCATTTAAGGTGCATAATATTATATACAAGATGTTCAGTTAATATATTTTTCCTATTATAGGCTAATATGAAGATTTTTTCTGAATCTCATAAAACAGTGTTTGTGGTGGATCATTGTCCTTACATGGCAGAATCATGCCGACAGCACGTTGAGTTTGATATGCTGGTGAAAAATAGGACCCAAGGCATCATTCCTTTGGCTCCTATATCTAAATCATTGTGGACTTGTTCTGTAGAATCCTCCATGGAGTATTGTAGAATAATGTACGATATATTTCCTTTCAAAAAGCTGGTGAGTAAGTCTAAAGTATAAGCCAAATTACTGGAGATATTTTAAATGCATTCTTTTTTAATCTGTTCTTGATTTGATTTAGAGCTATGTATTTTAACTTTTTTTAAATGTGGTATATAGATTTGCCCTTTGGGATTAATATATTATGACTCGTTAAAGCCATAATAAAAAACAACAATAGAGCCATTTAATACTAATAATTATTGAGTGCTTGCATGTGCAAACATTGTCCCAAATGCTTTGTATTTATTTAGTTTAAGTCTTACAACAGCCTATGAGATACTGTAGTTATTGTGGTGGTGTGGATACAGTGTCAATTCAGAACTGACTCATAGTTGACCTTCCAGCCTTCAGAGGTAGTAAATTTCTTGGGAGGACACTTCTTTTCCTTATGCAGATCACTTGGTAGATTTGAATTTGGCTTGGCAGCACAACTCCTTACCTTTTAAGCAGAAGGGATATTGACTGTTATCTCTTTGTCAGGCTATACTGCTGTGTACCAGCTGAATATTGGCCTTACTTAATCTGTGTTGGGGATAGAAAGATTGAGGCAAAGAGAAGATAAGAAAATTTGGCCTAGGTAGTTTGAGACAGAGGCAGAATTTGAATCCAGATAGACTCTTTGTACTTTCAGTGAATATATACTAACTTCCTAGATGATTTGACAATATTAGGAATAAACACTTTTAAGAATACTAAGTAAAAATTGTTTTTATCAATTAGAAAAGAATTGATGAGCTATAGAAGTTCCCAGTGTTAAAGTTATGTTCAGGTTTTAATATTGCCGAAGTTGGAATTGTCATCTGGTTAGCCACAAATGAATGACTTTTTTGGTTTCATTCGGAACAGGTTAACTTGAGATCAAAGAGCCCTGTTAGTGTAGTGAGTTGCTGTTGGATTGCTAAGTGAAAGTTCTGCAGTTTGAATCCACTAGCTACTCTGTGGGAGAAAGCAAAGAGGCTTTTCTCTGAAAGCCTTTGAAACCCAACATAGGGTGGCTGTTGACAGGAATTGGACAGTATTAAGGTTGATTTTGAGTTGGGCTGGGACCAGAATCACTGGCTTGTATAAGTCTTTAAATCTTCAACTACCAGATGAAAGGTTGGTAGTTTGAACTCAGGGTCATCTTGGAGCTCTGGTATTGTAATCCGTAGCATGTTAGGCTGTTAACCACCAAATGTCTTTGGTAGTTTAAATCCACCAGCGGCTTATCTTCCAGTGGCTCTAACAGAGAAAGATGGGTTGTCTCCTCCCAATAAGATTTTTAACTTAGCAAATCTGATGGAGGATCACTGTACTTAATTGTGGTGAGAATGAGAGGCATCTTGGAAGACAGGCTTGACGATCTGTTTCTGAAAGTCCATGTTCTTGAAAACCTTCAGGAGTGGTTTTATTCTGCACGTGGGGGTTTTCATGAATCAGAATTAACAACAGATTGGGACTAGTCAAGTCTGAGATTGGCATAAAGAAGGTTAAATAGCAAGTCCAAAATACATTTCAGATTTTTTAAAAATGAAAAGATAAATTGTTTTAGTCTGCATAGTGATTATATTTCCATTTAACTTAAAAGTGTTTGGTTTGTATCTGCCAGCTACTAGATGGGGAAAAAGATACCGTAGTCTGCTCCTGTAAATACCACCACATTGAAAAACCCTGTGGACAGTGCTCTGTCCTGTGAGTTCACTAGGAGTCAGGTTGATAGTAATAGGGATGACTAGAATCTCTCTTTAATGTTAAATATTTGTGCATTTTATATAAGGTTGCAAGTACACTGTAAGGGAGGATAATATATTCAAAGGCAAAGACTTTGGTTTAAATTATGGCTTCTTTTGTTACCAGCAATATGATCATGATCATATTAATTTCTTAGAGACTCTGTTTACTCCTATGTACCTGCTTCCTATGATGGTTGTAAGATTTAAATGAAACACTGTAAGCTTGTTAATTATGTCTCTGTCACCCATCAACAAATGAATGGATAGAGAAGCTCTGGTATATTCACACAATGGAATACTAGGAAATGCAGCATTGAAAAAAAAGGAACTCATGAAATAGTATGCAAAATGGATGACCCTGGACGACATTATTCTGAGTGAAATATCTCAGTCACAAAAGGACAAATGTTGCATAGGGCCACTGTAGTAAAACTGAACTGACATCAGGGTTGAGGGAAAAGGAGGGGAGAAATTATGTATATTACGTTGAAACAGATGAGGGAGAGATCTGTTTAAAAGGGATATACAAATAGGTATTCTTGTCATTACAGAGGTCCAGAATGAAGGCTGCATAGTGGCGTGAACTTGGGGTAGGGACTGCATAACAGTGAAAGAGTTTTTCTTTTCAAGGAGAAGAGTGATTTGAGGGGGGGAGGGTGGGCCGGGAGAAAAGTATAACAATGAATGACTGGAAATTCTACGTCACTGTAAACTGTCATTAAAAGTAATAAATTAAAAAAGAAAGAAAAAATATATCTCTGTCATATAACCTGCAAGAAAGGAGACCAATTATCACCTTTCCTTGGGTAAAGTAGGTTAATTTTGCATGGTTATGAGGGGGTAATATCATAGTATCATAGGTTATAGTATCCAAGGGGAAGAAAGAGTTTAGCTTTCTGCCCAAGAGAAAAAATTACTTCAGTATTTCCAAGTATACTCCTTACCATCACTGTCTTCTTAGGTGGTAGTATTTTTTAATTTGCATTTTACAGAATGAAGTCAAGCCCCATTATGACTTTTCTGTGTCCTGTATGTATATCTTGTGGTTGCTGCCTGTTTCTCTGAGCTTATCCTTTTTGTATGTTCTGACTTTTGTGTTTCTGGTATATGCATACAGGCCTTTGTGTTTGCTTTTACTGTACATGGAATCCTTCATGTCCAACTTTTTCAATGACTCGTTTCTCCTGGTCTTTTCCCTTTCAGTTGTCCCTGCATTAA